CCCCCCCACACACACACATTAACACCCTTCAAAAGAAAAAGAGAAAAAAAAGGAAAAATAGATTTATAATATAATAATAATAATAATAATAATTGTTCAAAGATCATCATTATAATTTAAATTTTGTAAATATTATCTTTTAAATTACTTATTATACACATTCAAATATTAAATTAAATTAAAGAAAAAAAATCACATAAGTGACTCAAATGGGCAAGTAGATTGCTCTTTGTAACCATGTGTTAGACAGTGTATGTCCTTAGTTCCAATTGGCTTGATGTATATTATGAAATTTATTATAAATTAATAAAAGCATATATTTGATTCATGTTATATGGTGTGTTTCTGTGTACTACCCTTAAACTGGACACTAATGGGACTCATGTTAGTTTAGAATTTTCACAGCCATTAGATAGACACGGGGAGGTTTTTCAGGCTAAGATTGACACTAATTTGCCGTCAAGTGGGTTGGGGTGGCTTGTTTTAGCTGCCAGGTGAGACCTGAGATACTTGTAGTGTGGATTTTCTTGAAACACTGAACTTGACCAAATTCCAATATTGCTCTAGACCTTGGAAATAGATGGGCAGAACGAGAATGTTACACCTAACTCCTAGACTCGATTATGGTACTGCACTAGGTGTCGGATTGGACTGTCTTTGATATGCCGATCAGTGTGATTCTTAGAGGGGGTCGAAACTTGGGTATGTTGAGGTAGTCCAAAAATTCACTTGAATAGGTGATCATAGTGACAAGATCAACCCCTTTGTCAGATAAAGTTAATGATCGGGGAATGCACTCTCTTTGATGGAAACCTAAACTGCCGACAGTTGATTTTAAATTGTTAAGATTTGTTTTTGCAAAATATAATTATATAGAAATATACATATATATTATGGTTTCACAAAATGTTTGCAAAAATGTTTTAATTCTTGAGATCCATGTGAGTAGAGAGTGCAATACTATACCTTGTAGCCGAGGGAGAGGTCCTCTCTTGTCGGGCAGTATTTGATCATTATGGGTTGAGAGGTTAAGTGTAAGACCATTGAGGGATAATAAACTTGATGGGCTAATCTCACATCTATCCATAGTCCTTAGGCCTTCATAAGATGGCTGGACCTAATGAACATTTAGTGTAAATGTTAGACCCGTTAAAAGCCCATATTGATGGACTCAGAGGTTCACTGTATTCAGTAGTGAATTCAGTTAGGCTTTGTAATAGAAGCTAGCCTGAACCCATGT